TTTTAATCCTATCCAAGCAATATATATATATATATATATATATATATATATATATATATATATAGACACACACACACAATGATGCATTTGTTGATACATTTATTAGGGTTATGCAAAAGTTTGTTTTTACTTAGTCTCATCTAATTTGTAAGTTTTGTATACATGAACAGACATTAAGAAACACGGGGGCAGGGGGTGTGCAAGCAAAAACTTAAGATTCAAAACTCACCCAAGATATTTTCATTTGAATTCAGAAGTCTATCAAAGTCAATTCCATTTTTAGCAAAATCGAATCCAAGCCAAAAAGGCTGCAATTCCTCTTTAAACTAATGGCCTCTTGCCATGAGAAGAGAAAAGCAGCAGGGTGGGACAAACTGAGTGAGCTGGGAAGGAGACTAAGAGAGCACAGAATTCTGGGAAATGTAGTTTGGGAAGACAAGGAGTCCTATTGCAGATAATTCTAAACTACATTTCTCAGAATTCCTCTTAGCATCAGAAAGCTCCAATTAGGATAGGGGAAAGATTTTTCCCTCCTAGCAGCAGCCAGGGTTCCAATAAATTTTTGAATCTGCAAAGAGGAGGACTGACTGAAATGTCAATAGAAATAACTGAATCAGTGCTGGGCTGAGAAGAAATCTCTAAATGGAAGTTCTATTGGTCAATATGAGACACATTCAATGAGATAGATGTTGTGGCTTAAAAAAAAACCTTTTTGGCAAAATGTTAAAAAAAACCCAGCAGATGTACGAATATTTCTGAAACTTGGAGGAAATTATCCCCTGTTATTGTTGCAACCCAGATCAGGAAACAAGACCATAAGATTAAATCCACCACACTTGACTGTGGGAAAAACAATCCTTTTTATTGATGAAAAAATGGTTACAAAATAGAGGAAAATGCAAAGTCAAAAAGCCACAGTAAAACTCAGCAGTCAGGAAAATCCCTGAACTAGATCAAAATTCCAAAAGCAACACTATAGAAAACCTGGAACCTGTTAGTATCTCACTAACCATACTTGAAACTAGAAGCCTCTGGGAATGCAGGCCATGGGAAACGGGAACTCAGCCAAGGTAATGCCTCAGTCTAAACGATGCTTGATCTGACAAGACAGCCCGGGGGGAGACACTTTAAACTAAAGAAACTGTTTCGGGACATGCCTCCAGGCTTGGAAGCCTCCTTCTGCTTTAATCTACTAGACCTTTGCAGACTCTGTGATTCACTCCTGTTTTCCCAAATCTGCCTCTTCAATCCTCATTAAAAAAAGCAGGTGTTAACTCCTCTGGAGAGTTATCACCACTTGACTCTGAAACATCCTCATCAGGATGTTTAGTTTCACTTTCCCAGCCACTGCCCTCAGAATCAACAGTTTCCAAACCATCAGGGAAAAATACATGTTCAGTGGCCTGTTCAGTTGCATCAGGAAATACAATCATAGAATCAGGTTCAGGTTCACACGGAGGCTGAGGGTCAGGTTCACACGGAGGCTGAACCCCAACAATTATCTTGTTTCATTGTATGGAAAACTCAAGGAGATAGTTCTTGTGTTTTTTAAAAAATAATGTTGTTTGTAAAAACTTTGGAAATTTCCCAAAAACTTTTAGTTGAGGGAAACATTCTAAAACTTAATGGGCTAACAGTGGTAGATATGTTCTATGTTTCATGCCAATAGCTCTAACAATGAGGGAGAAAGGCATCCCTGAATTATCCCCATTGGCCCAATTAATTACTTAATGGAAAGTAACCAAAGAGTAGTTAACTCATTATTGTTATGACACAGACCCCATCCAATTTTGGAAATACTTTAGAAACTATTCCCCCACCCCATCCCCTAATTTTGCAATGAGTATTGACACATTTTTTCATTGGTTGTACAGGCCTAACATTTATACTACTGAGAACAGCAGCACAGCATAAGAGATTGTTCAGGTGCGTGCATGACTTCAAAAAGTGAATGATCTGTCACTTTAGAGTTGAATTTATAAATATCACATTTCTTAAGTACTTTTAGTCAATAATGCATCCATCATCTGGAAAATGATGAGGTGAGCCAGGGACTGATGTTGATAAGATAGTGCTGTCATGAGGTCATAGATGAAAAATGTCATGAAGAAAAATGGTGTTAACCATCAGATGTATTCTGTCCATCTGATCCTTGATCAATGTACTGTGTGAAATGGAATGTCCAAACTGATTGGGACAATATGCTAGCAAAATTAACAGCTTCTTAAATATAAGCATGTCTGACTCCAGCTTATTGACCATGTCTAAGTAATGAATTATGTTGGCTGATCACACAAAGTTGTATATGGAAAAATATCACTAAAGTATTCCCTCTTCTCTTCTGAAGCATACAGTGAATTAATGTGTGCTGTTAAAAGAAGAAAAGGGTGCGCTGAAGCCCACTAAGAAATTTTGCTTGTCTCATCCATTCTGTTGGTCTGCTAAAAATCTTCCTTCCATTTCTCTAGAAGTTTTCTTTAACTGAGAAAGATAATTCTGTTTTCTCCATAATTTGCAGGGCACATTAGAATTGGATATTTCTGGTGATTGTTTGGAATATCTTATAATCAGAATATGACTGAGGTGTCAAATACTTTCAAAACTTTAAAAAGCATTTGGTTTTTTTATTTTGTTCACATTGAGACAGAGTATTCCACAGATCAATACAGAGAACAAAAGTAGACACACAGACTCCATAGCTACACTGGGTAGACAAAGGAGATATTACATTTTACTCAATGTTCACACACACACAAACATTCACTCATCATCATGTATACATTACCGTCTCTTCTTCCTTCTCCTGAAAACGAGACCCAAAGAAGGACAGATTGTGTTCCCAGCAAATCTGCCATTCTGTAAATACATCATTTCTCTCCATCCCTTGGAGAAGATGGCAGGTGGGCCAGACTCCTCTGGTCTGCCACAATGTTGGAATAGTAAAGTGTCTCTTATATAGCATTATTTCTACTCATTGTTCTAAAAAGATGCAAATGAATGACAGGTGTTTTCCAGCTTAAACATTCTAACTCCCATCAGTTCCAGACAGATGTTAACTCTTCTTTTTAACTGATGGATTTTCACCTTAACATAAGGAAGCTCTGTGTTGACTTTTGTTTTCCACCAAGAGTTAATAATTTGTCTCTGGTCATCAACGTCAGTAGTTCAGCAGATTTTGATTGCAGTTCATTGATTATTTTCTTTTGTAGTTTTCCAGGCTTCAATTCTTAGGATGGCATCTCCAGCCTATATAGACCCCAACCATACACCTTTCTTTCAATTGCATTCAAACCATATCATCATATTTGTCATATATTGAACTGTGTATGTGCATTTTTGTATCTTTCTTATCTTCTTATATTCGTGTTTTTCCGTTGTTCTTATAGCAGTACATCAGATCTCTCATCTCAAAATCATATAAAAATAAAACAAATATCAAAATCATTATTATTATTTTCATCATCACCCCCATCATCAGATATTACTCTTAGTGAATCAGGACATTATTTTAATTTTTAAAAATAATTGTCAAATAAAGCTGTAAGCATGCATGCAGTTGACAAATATTTTTGTTGAATCTAATTACTGCTGAAATATTGCTTGATGAATGAGCAGTAAGAACACATGTCTTAGATATATTATCAAGTAGGTAAATATTCCACATGATTCTCAAAGTTGACATTTAATTTCAACTCTATATGTGAAGAATCTTCCTGAAATTATTGTTAAATTATTAATTTTATCCTACCCATCTTCAGGTATACTACACTTGAATAGTTATGCCAGCTTGGGGAATAGTAGCAGGAGATAAAAGGGTGCTGCAACCATGAAGTAAATAAAGGATTATGTGATCATCTAAATCAGCCTACATCTGCAAGTAGTATCTACTCATTGAGATGGGCTGAAATAAATAAATAAATAAATAAATAAATAAATAATAATAATAATAATAATAATTGTTATTATTTATATGCTGCTTTTTGTCTCCAGAAGGAGACTCAAAGCAACTAACATTAAAAGCATTACATTACAATTAAAAATACAAATATACAAATATTAAAACAGTATTAAACATCATTAATGTTTTAAAAATTCAGTTAAATCCATAAAAAACATAAAAAAACCACAGCATCCCCTGACAAGATCATAAAAACTTTCTTCTTTAAAAGCCTGTTGGAATAAAAAGACTTTAGCCTGCTGCTAAACAGCAGGAAGGGGCTGTTCTGGCTTCCCTGGGCAAGGAGTTCCAGAGTTGAGGGGCAGCCACAGAGAAAGAAGATCTGGTCTCTCATTCCCACCAATCAAGCTTGAAATTGAGGTCGGACTGAGAGAAGGGTCTCTTCTGAAAATCTCAGGGCCCAGAAAGGTTTGTACAAGTACATGTGGAAAGCCAAATGGCTTGGGTGTGTGCCATCTAGGGCTTTAAAGGTCATAACCAGCACTTTTAATTGTGTTCGTACACAGACTGGCAGTCAGTGGAGCTGCTGAAACAGGGCAGGGTTGTCTGCTCCCTGTAGCCAGCCCTAGTTAGCAGCCTGGCTGCAGCTCTTTGGACCAGCTGAAGTACTCTTCAAAGGCAGCCAGCCTCATGCTGGTCATGTTACAGTAATACCATGGACATGAATACCATGGACATGATCCAACTGGGGTAGCTCATGTTAATTAAAATGTTTTCTTAGTAGGGCCACAAGGAGGTAATATCATTCCCTACACAGTACAGCAAGGCATTTTCATTGTCTTCATAGTCCAAGCTCTGAAAGCAACCAGAAAATTTGCTCTAGAAAATATTATTTTAGCTCATTTTGGTGAAAGCATTGGGGAAAGGGATGAGATGGGGACAATAAGATGGGGGCATTGCTTCTTCCTGGATGCCCCAAAAACATAGGTTAATGTCCCCAATTGGATCCTGGCACAGTTATTTAGCACAGATCAGAAAGTTTCAGAGCTGGTAAGGGACAGTAAGAAAAGTTTTATAGCAAAAACTATATTGTCCTTTTCAGGCTTTTTCAGGCAACACCAATGCAGACAATGTGGTATATTATAAACTCCAACATTCCATCAAAGCAAGATTTTTGCGGTTTGTCCCATTGGATTGGAATCATAATGGCCGGATTGGGATGCGAATTGAGGCTTATGGCTGCACTTACAGTAAGTAATGTATTATTTCTTAGCTTAAAGGACATCATGATGTAATATGAAGTGTACAAATGTGTTCTAAACTGAAAATTAGATTCTGCTTGTCATATTAATTTGACAATTATAGAACTAAAGATTTTTCACAAGAGTTTTGGATATGAAATTGCCCCATACTTTATATCAATATCCTTAGATTCATGTAGCAAACCGGAATATGGAAGTTCAATTCCTAATTTTAGCAAAACTGAGTACACATGCGTCATTTATGTTGGAAGAAAAAAGATTTTCAAAACAAAATCTCCATTACATAAAGTGTCATTTTGTTTTAGTATATAGCAGCACAGTAATTTGAAATAGATTTGCTTCAATCTCACACATCAGCAAAGGTGTTGCTTGTTCCATGTAATGCTAGGACTGCCCCACTTTCTTGTAAACTTCTGGTGGCACTCTTGTAGATCTGTTCTAAATTGATTGCTAGGTGTTAATAGAAAAGGGTTTCTCTTTTTTTCTCTCTCTCTCCCCACTCTCTCCTTCTCATCCTCCTTCTCTCCCCAAAAGCCAGGCTGAGGTGATGGTGGTCTGGAAAGCATGACATTGCCTAAGGTTGTTCCCTTCCACTGCATTTCCAGAAAACATTGGATCCCATGGATTATCTAAACACTTTAGGAAAAAATAGGTGTACAAACCATGAATTTGAACCATGAAGCACAGTGCTTCTCGTCAATATGTCCAGCCACCTTATCACATGTTGACTTTAATAAAAAGGAGAGTTCAGTTTGGAGCAACCTGTGTTGACCTTGATGTTCTGTTTATAGCATACTGCATATCCCCTGACATTCTAAGACAGTTTGTTGTTGCTGACATAATTGTCAAGCTGGCATTTGTGGCAGTGTGTAGGCATAAAACATGCACATTTCTAGCACTAGGAGTCAGGGCCATAGCCAGAAAAAATGGGGGGTGGTTGAAACTTTTTAAAGTGAATCATGAAGAATAGTTCCATAATACAAAATAAATCAAATAGTATGGTTTATTCTATATTTTTATATAGACTTATTTGAAACAATTTTCTATTTTAATTACAAAGTTTCAAGTTGTAAAATGATCGTTAATTGGTAATTTATAGTTACAAAAGAATATCACAATGTCTGGAAACTGTGACAATACACTTTGATAGAAATCAGGATCCATTAATAAACTTCAGTAGACACTCAAGTGTGCAAGTCCAGTCAGTCTTTCTTGCCCCATTGTACTTATGTATATTTTGTTTAAGTGTTGAAAATGGCACACACACATACACACACACACATGCATACACACACACACACTTTAAATTGGCATATCTGAAAATCAAGATCAATGACCCATATATATTATCAAATTTTAGAAACTACAGAAAATACCTTTAATCTGGTGCCTAATTATTCGATTTAGGAAAAATAAAAGTATAAACTTTTAAAGCAATTACAAGTTATCACAGTTGTTCTATATCTGGAAAAATCATAAAGTGTATTTAAATTTAAGTTTTTCTTACGGAGCTTGTTAGGATTACAACTCCCCAAATGGATGAGCCTTGGCATAAGTCAAAAGCACAGTCCTAAAAGACACTGCCTGGATATTCACCATTATGAAAATAAGTAATATAATGAAGATGCATAGTTAATCTGAGTGTGTTTATATTATTCTATGGCAGAAAGAGTGTGACTGTTCCTTTCAGGGGATTAGACTATGAGCCTGAACAAGTCCTCTCAAACATTGTAAAATGGCACTCCTTGTGGCAGCAAAGCAAACAGCCTCTTCCAGGAAGGGCCCAACATGCAACCTAGCATGAGGTGAAAATACAGTGAAATATTAACTATGTATATATAAATATGAAAGCCTATATATATAAATACATATCTATAACACTGAATATATAAATATGAAACATAAGGTGGAAATCCCACCCCAAACCAGGCATTTGGCCACATAATGAAGATTTTTTTTACTTCTAATAGTGTGTTAGTCCATACCTTGCTCTGAGGCCAAGAGAGTATGACTGCACAGCTTCCAGAAATAGACCAAATCAGATAACTTCTAGTTTGTTGGGCCATGAGCCTGACCAGGTGGAACCTGGAAGGCCTCTCAGATACAGAGGAAGACCACATGACCCCCATCAGAATGGTCCCAGCTTGAGGCAACAACAGCCCAAAGGCATCAAGCCCAATATGAGTTCTGAACAAAATAGAGCCTTGGCTTCTTAATATATTGGCAAAGGCTATAAAGCTGAACACCCTACTATCCTCTGGAAAAGAGATGGGGAGGGAGCAAGTAGGGAAAGGCCTAATTCCTCATTAGGAACTTCCCTCCTACCTCACGCTGAAACAAAGATCACAGCAGGGGAGCAGAGCAGCCTCAAATAGCCTGCAGCTACCTCCAAGTCTGGCCTCCTTCATGAGACTCCTCTCCCCCCAGCTATGGGGGGGGGGGGCAACTTGGTTGTTTCCACTATATCACCGATTGTTGCAAGTAATGACAATGTGAATAAATTGTCAAAATTTGCTTGAAATAGTGCCTGCAGTTCTGAAGGGGCTCATTTAATTTTTGCTTCTCAAAGATTTAGCATGGGGATTTGATTACCCAGTTAAAATTCATGAGTAAACCAGTTTTTTTTAACCTGAAAAATGAGGTGGGGTGGGGTTTGAACCCTTCCCCTTCCCCACTCTCTGCTACAGCTCTGCTAGAAGCATCACTGGTAAGATAAAGATTTTCCCCTGACATTAAGTCCGGTCATGCCCAACTCTGGGGGTGGTGCTCATCTCCATTTCTAAGCCGAAGAGCCAGTGTTGTCTGTAGACACCTCCAAGGTCATGTGGCCGGCATGACTGCATGGAATGCTGTTACTTTCCCACTGGAGTGGTACCTATTCATCTACTCACAGTGTTTTCAAACTGCTAGGTTGGCAGAAGCTGGGACTAACAGCGGGAGATCATGTCGCTCCCCGGATTCGAACCTGTGACCTTTTGGTCAGTGGTTTAACCCATCACACCACTGGGGGCTCCAAGAAGCATCACTAGAACATACAAAATTAAGAAGCTGCCTTCTATTGAGTAAGAACATGGGTCCAACCTAGTTCAATGTTATTGACAGTGACTGATGGCAATTCTTCAAGATTTCATACTTTTCTATTCCTGTTCTAGGCCACTGCTTTTTGAATATTGTATTATTATCAGTGCAGCAAATATCTGGGAGAATTAAAGTGAAGAGGAGAAGGTACTTCAAAATTATTCCCCAACACTGTAATACATGACAGTGCCTCTTCTTTTTGAAATAAAACACATTTTTTGTACGTGGAGCACAGGTCCAAATGACCATTAAGAACATTTTTGTTCACTCTCTGTATTCTGAAAAGCAATATAAAATGTAATAAAAGTGAATGGCACAAATATTCCCACTGTATAATAAAGTACAATTTAGTTATGTGTGTTTTATCTTGAAGGTCAGAAAAGAGAAAATCCATTAAGGCTAATTTTCAGAATGCATACGTTAACACAGAGATGACCATTTATTATTTTATAGAAGAGGAAGATCAGAAATAGGATAGGGATTAGGAGCAACTAAAAGTGCTAATGAATTTGTTAATTGGTTTTTATTTATCAGCTGCTCTGTGTCAAGGATAGGAGACAAAATATTTAAAATAGATTGAACCCATCAATTTGTTACTCAATTGATGCCCCAGTTTTGAGTGGTCTAATATTCCTTGAGGAAAATACTGGGGTTTCAAGTGTTGGTTGCAGAGATAATTGCAGTGTCCTCTTTGTATTATTCCAAAAGCTGCACAGTCCTATAAATAATTATTTAGAAATTATTTGAATGGGAGTGTGATCATCTCAGGCAAGTGAGCACAGAATTGCAACCTCATTCATTTTATGGAAAAAGAATGAAGAACTGGGAAAACAAAACCAACAAAGCAACAACCTGAGTTTGAATTTTCTTTGTTGCCCTACTCCAAGACTGAGTGTGTGTAACTTCTCCAGGGCCACCCACTAAGCCCACTAAGCCACTCCAAGACTGAGTGTGTATAACTTCTCCAGGGCCACCCACTAAGCAAAACCACCAATGTCCATTCCTTGCCTAAGAAAACTCTACTAAATTCATGGGGTTGTCATAAATCAGCAGTTGACACATACAATAGTAGTAGTAGTAGTGGCAGAAACAAATAGAAAGCATGTTAATTTGTTCTCTGAAGAATGATCTTTCTTGTATTTCCCCTGTTTCTCCTTGTCTGCTGAGATTTTTTCAGTCCCTTTTGTTCACAGTTCTTGTTGTCTGGTCTCTCTAGCAATCTCAGTTTTCCAGAGTTTGTCTCAGAGCTCCTGCCTCAACAATGTCAGCAATTACATATAATGATCAAAGTCATGTAAAATGCTTCCATGAACACTTCAAGAAAAGACCAGAGAAAGAATTCTTCCCCTGATTTCTGACCAAACAATGATTTGAACCCAGATATCCAGGGTTGTAGTTCAACGCCCAATCCAATGCATCATGCAGGCAGTCCTTAAACTGTGATGACTTTGCTTGATATTAAATAATAGCTGAAAATCCTGTAGATAAGTGAGTATCTTTTCAAACACAACCAGCCAGAAAGTATGGAATAATTTCAGTAGGACTCACACAGGGGAATTTATTAGATGATTTTGTCCCATATTTATATTAAATAATATAACTGAGCTTCCTTCCCTTGACTTGGAAAAAAGATACTCCATGCGCAAAAGAATGACTTCATATATTATTGGCTGGCAGCTAAATCTTCATTTATTTCAGAAACGTATCTTTCAAGAACTATTAAATCCTTTGTCTTTTTTGCTTATGCAGAGTGAATACACAGTGTGCTTCACTTCGGCATTATCTGCTGCTCTTTAGATTCCCAAGACAAGTTTTTTTTTAAATAAATTGTGACAGATGTTATTTTAGAATTATTATTATTATTATTATTATTATTATTATTATTATTATTATTATTGCATTTTGGTGACTATACTTGATCTTTTAAGGGACTAGATGGGAAAACAGCCATAAGGGCTTTTCATTTATGTGAAATGTACACATTTGACTTGGAGAGCATGCCTTTCTCTTTTGTGTTTCAGAAACACAACAGAGAGTCTTATCCAATATATTGTTAGCAAGGGTCAGCCTTACATTAAATTACTCTTCCTTAGAACCCCCTTCAGCTACTAAAATCACTTCCCTCCCTTTGTCAAGTATTATTTCACACAAAACTATGAAAAGAGTATGAGAAAAGCAAGTCTGACTGATATATAACAATCTTGGTATGCAATGGGAAAACTGAAACATTTTCCTTCTTGGCAATCAGTCCTTTCAACTAAATCAGGCTAGGTTTGTAAAAGCATATGGAGAAACTGATATGCTCCATCCAGGTCCTCTTCATAGTCACATGACAGCTCGCCCAAGAGAATCTGGTAGGAAAGGGAGGAATTTAGAATATCCACAATATGTACTTCCTAATCAGTCATGATAAGCAGGTCAACCCTGGTTAGTACTTGGATGGCAAACTAATACCAGGGGCTGTAGGTTATATTTCATAGGAAGGAAATGGCAAAACCGCCAATGTCCATTCCTTGCCTAAGAAAACTCTACTAAATTCATGGGGTTGTCATAAATCAGCAGTTGACACATACAATAGTAGTAGTAGTAGTGGCAGAAACAAATAGAAAGCATGTTAATTTGTTCTCTGAAGAATGATCTTTCTTGTATTTCCCCTGTTTCTCCTTGTCTGCTGAGATTTTTTCAGTCCCTTTTGTTCACAGTTCTTGTTGTCTGGTCTCTCTAGCAATCTCAGTTTTCCAGAGTTTGTCTCAGAGCTCCTGCCTCAACAATGTCAGCAATTACATATAATGATCAAAGTCATGTAAAATGCTTCCATGAACACTTCAAGAAAAGACCAGAGAAAGAATTCTTCCCCTGATTTCTGCTCTTTAGAGGCACACCTTTAGGAACCAAATAACATTGTTGTCTCAGTCTATTCCCAGTGTATTTGTGGGCCGTGGGCTTCACTACAGAATTGAATATAGGCTTGGTGATACAACCCCCCCTCCCCAAAATACCACCATACCTCTCAAAGTACAATGGGGATAGGTCACTCATGAATTGAGAAAAGGAATATCCTCCACCACCAATTTTGGCGTGAGGTGTCCTCTGATTGATCTATGAACCACCACTTCCTGGGACATAAGATAATTGGATATAAAAATTAATAACACCCTGTTTATTATTAAACAAAAAATCAAACCTTTTCCTTTGTTGAGAATCTGTTTAAGAAAGTGCTTATCTGTGTGTTTTTCAGGGTCTGAAGTGGCAGATTTTGATGGAAAGAGTTTCCTGCTTTACAGATTTAACCCCAAATCCACGACGGCACTAAAAGATGTAATTTCTCTGAAGTTTAAAACTATCCAGAGAGATGGAATTCTGCTTCACAGAGAAGGACAGAATGGAGATCACATCACATTGGCACTAGCTAATGGAAAGCTTTCTTTACTCATCAATATAGGTACCAAGTGCAAATTCATTTTGCACATCTTCTTAGCAGTTTACTTTATTTTAAAAAAGCCGAAACCAGCCATATAAGTAACTGTCTAGATTGTGTGTGTTTTTTGCAACAGACCTAACAGTTTGTTTCTCTCCCTTTGAAGGTGATGCTAAAATATATTCTACTGATGCCCAGATTAATATCACTCTGGGTAGCCTTTTGGATGATCAGCATTGGCATTCAGTCCTCATTGAACATTTCAATAATCAAGTGAACTTTACAGTTGATAAACACACTCACCATTTTCATGCAAAGGGAGAATTCAATTATTTGGACCTTGATTATGAGGTGTGAAAATTCTCTTTCATTTATTAGATTTATTATCTTTGTTATGTAAATGCAATTATTCAATTGAAGGAGACCATGAGCCAGTCAGGGGAGTGTTTTAGCATCCTCAGTTCTTGTTGAAGCTTGTATCAATTTCCCTGCATAATTTTATTAATTCACGGCTTACTGGTGTGCAAGCCCTTGACTTTGGTATAAATCAGCAAAAATATTTGCATAATGGTCATGTTTTCAGTTTTTAGGAGACACACTGAGACATGTGTGACATACCAATACCAAACAGGATTTGGGGTGTGGAGGAAGTAGCAGGAAATTAATATTTAGATTGATGGCTCCACTAATTTGTGCTCTTGACCAGTGAGTGTGTATAGTTGCATCAGTGACAAAATAGCTCCATTCGCCAGTCAGTACATCCATATCCATTAACCACCTACTGGCACACAACCAATGGTGCTCATTACACCATGCAGGAGGAAAAGCCAGATGAAAAGATTGGCGATAAAGCAGGCAGGAGAAAGTATAGTGTTTCCAAAACATCTTGCCATTGAAAAATTAAATGTGAATATACCCCTTGGCACTTCTAGAGCAGGAATAGGCAATAGATATGTTCCAGGTAATTTTAGATTACTATTCCGAATGACAACAGTCAGGGATAAGCAGACTCGTATTCCACAATATGTGGAGGACTCTGCTGACTTCTGGTCTTGCCCTTTAGCACATGTGGAAGTGTGACTGCATTTTAATACATGTGGAAGAGGATAGATTAGCCTTTAATTGTTGTACTAAGATCCTTATTCTGGATCCTTTCATCCTTGATCTCAATTCAACACAGGTTCTCAAGTTGCTCCTGACATGAAAAAAAATCAATGGCTCACACAAACATGTCTGAAATGCATAAATTAATATAAACATGGGAACTCTGGTGCATCATTTTGTGTAAAGGATCTGAATGCAACATAGTTCATGCACTGCAGTGAACAGAGTATCCCTGAATAACTTAGACAAAATAGAGAATGGTAAATATATTTGTATGTGCATAAGTTGTTTTATTTCCCTTGGTTGCCAGGTAAGCAGTTGCAATGAAAATCACATGAAAAACTGCTATCTTATTATTATTTTTTAAAAGAAATGTAATATATGAAAATAAGTTAGGATTGAGACAAACTTGAAAATTATGGAATTAAACTATGTATATTCATTTTAAGGCTGTAATTTTATGCACACTTGATAATAAGCTTAATTTGATTCCAAATTTATCTGTTTAGGAAGCATGTTGAGTTAACACACCCTTTCATCTCTGGTTCTATTGTATTCCACACATGAAGCACAATATGGCAATGCAAAAGAGCTTCCCCACATATAAATGTCATGCAGATGACTAGAAACAACAAAAACCAGAGTCCTCAGTTGCATGAAGAACAATGTGTCACTGGACACATTGATTCCTACATGATAAGAGTGATGGAATGGGAGATAAGCTGTGTGTTTTACTTCAAAAGTAATTACATTTTCCTGTTTTGTGTTAATTCAATAGGCATCCCAAATGTATAAATGAGGCTATAGTAGGACTTATATCTGAATAAACATTAGCAGAACTATACTGACCTACTGTATGGCCTTTATAATTTTTTGTTGTTGAAATGATTGAACCAAACCATCACTTTCTGAAAGCAAAGCCAATAAAAAAACCCTTGACTTCTCACTTAGAATGCTCTTTCTGTGCTTTTCATCTCAGCCTATATTTTAAGTAAGTGTAATGTATAATTTTTGAAAAACTGGATGAATTCCAATTTGACCAATTGAAACTGTTGCTGTTATGCCATTGCTAATATTATTGCCGTCAAAATTGGAAACAGATTGTCAGAAAATTATTTAATATTGTTATTGATTTTTCTTCTCTTTCTAAGCTCAGCTTTGGAGGGATTCCAGTGCCTGGAAAGTCAGGGTTAATACCATGGAAAAACTTTCATGGATGTTTTGAAAACCTTTATTACAATGGTGTGAATATTATTGATTTGGCCAAGAGACAGAAACCACAAATCAACATTATGGTAAGAAAACATTTGCTTATGTAAATGTGGGGCACTTTTCAGTAATTTTGTTTTGTAAATAAATATATTCTGATAGTACTTTAAAGCTGTGATCCCAGCATATGTTTTGAAGGACTTCGGTCTTAAAATGTGCTAATGTGAGTGATTTGAAGGGAAGGATATTCCCTCTGTCCACCCAAAAACTCTCCTGTATCCTCCGTAAGAGTTCTGTGGTCATCCGCAATGTACAATGGGATTTGAGAACCTGGTAAGGAAAATGGAAGGAAGCTATCTTATTGTTCAGAGGCATTTTAGGGGATTCTGATTACTGGAAAGGGGAAAAATAAAATAGGAAACTCCATCTTATCTTGAGAATAATGTCAAGGCAACTGTGTCCCATGAACTTCAATTTGTTAAAACTTTGATTTGATTGGTTTATAGATTGAGCCATAAGTCACATTACAGAAGCTGGCAATATTGACTCTTTGTGCAAAGAGAAACTGCAGGGGAGAGTGGATTAAGTGGAGCACTCATTCACTTCTGCTTCCTCCATACCAATTCCACACAGAATAACATTAGGCACACAGAATAACACCCCCTGTTAGGACATCTGAAGTGCCAGTCAGTCTGTTTCCAAGCAAAATTAAAAGCGCTGATTATGACCTATAAAGCTGTATAAAGTTCTCAGAAAGTCCATATCTTTCCAGGTGAGCCTCCCCAAATTCTAAGATTTTCAAGGGAGATGCTTCTTTTGACCCTGCACCTTCTTAGTGCATTTCAGAGGGAACATGAGAGAAGGGCTTTTCACAGGGAACACAGGAGAAGCTTTTCCATGGCTACTCCCAGGTCCCATCTACACTGACCATTTAATGCATTTTCAAGCTGCAACAAGCTACCACAAAAGCATGAGAAGGAGCTTGTTGCACCTTGCTGTGAGTTTGCCAGGCTGTATGGCCACGCTCCAGAAGCATTCTCTCCTGACCCACATCTATGGCAGGCATCCTCAGAGGTTGTGAGGTCTGTTGGAAAATAGGCAAGTGAGACTTATATATTTGTGGAATGTCTAGGGTGGGAGAAATAACTCTTGTCTCCTTGAGGCAAGTGTGAAAGTTGCCATTGACCACCTTGATTAGCATTGAATAGCCTTGCAGCTTCAAAGACTGGCTGATTTCTGCCTGGGGGAATCCTTTGTTAGGAGATGTTAGCTGGCCCTGATTGTTTCATGCCTGGAATTCCCCTGTTGTTTGCATATTTCTCTTTATTTACTGTCCTAACTCTACAGTTTTTAATACTGGTAGCCAGATTTTGTCCATTTTCATGGTTTTCTCCTTTCTGTTGAAATTGTCCTTTGCTGAACATAGTATTTGTTGGATATTCTTAATACAGGCAACCTCAAACTGCAGCCCTCCACCTGTTTTGGCCTTCAACTCCCAGAATTCCCGACAATTGATCAAACTTGTTAGGGCTTCTGGGAGATGGAGGCCCAAATAGCTGGAGGGCCGCAGTTTGAGGATGCCTGTCTTAGTGGGTCTGTAGATTGTAGTTTGTGTTTATTCATCAGCTTTCCTATGCAGTCAGTGGTTTCCCTGATGTATGGTAAGAACATTTTTCCTCTGGGTGGAAAAGACAAGAGGGATCCTCTCACCTCTGTAGGAGTCTACCATACACCATGCAGCTGTGGACAAATCTACATAGGGACCACCAAACGCAGCGCCCAAACATTAATCAAGGAACATGAAAGGCACTGCAGACAAATTCAACCAAAGAAGCCAGCCATAGCATAGCACCTGATGAACCAACCTTGAAGCTACAAGGCCATTCAATGCTAATCAAAGTGGCTAACTGCAACATTCACACTTGCCTCAAGCAGACAAGAGTTCTTTCTCCCACCCTGGCCATTCCACAGATAAATGAACCTCACTTGCTTAGTTTCCAACAGACCAGACAACCTATGAGGGTGCCTGCCATAAATGTGGGTGAAACATAGATGTGTGCAAAACATCAGAAGAGAATGCTTCTGGAGCATGTCCATACAGTTTGGAAAACTCACAGCAACCTAGTGATTCGGGCCATGAGAGCCTTTGACAACACATGTGAAAGAAAACCTGTGTCCTCACAATCTGGGCCTCACACTGGTTCTAGGATTTCCTATGTTAGCATTGCAAAGTGAACTCACTTTCTTCCATGCCAGTTTGAAACATCATAAAATGATCAGTGTAGATGGGGCCTCAGACTCTGGTGCTCCCTTTTCAAGGATGCTAGGCTGCCTCCTTTCTTGCTGTCTTTATACATCAGCACATGAAAGCCTTTCTGTTCTAGCGTGCATTTGGAGACTGATAGTTTTACACACAAAAAGCTTTCTGTATTTATGTGTTACACTACTTTTTTCTTATGCTTTTAATGTTTCAAATGCTTTTAATTTTACATAGAGTTTAAAATTATTTATTTAAACTTTGACTTTTAGTATGGCTTTATCTCTATGCAATTTCATTTGTACGTATTTTTAACTGTAAACTGCCATGAGAAGAAAGCAGAATATAAATAAAGTGATTGATTGAAGAGATAGAGATGGATGCAAAATGGCTGTTTGTATTTTTTGACTCGTGTGAAGAATCCTACTTCCATATACTCCCCTGCAAATATATATTCTGCCTATAAAATCCCAACATTCACTCATTACCTTCTTGAAGCTAAAAGAGGAAAGCTTAGGGAGGCTCAGTATAAACATTTTACAGTTCTTGTGTGTGTGCACATGCCCTCAAAGCACATCTCGATTTATGGTGATCCATTAATTTCATGCCACCTCAAAAAGGCAGGGCAATGCGGGTAACACCCAGCATTGCCATGGTCCAATTGTCACCAGGTCTTATTTCTCCCAAGCTCAGGAAGCTTTTAGCCACTTTAAAAAACTCATCTTTACATGGGTTGAGTGAGATTTATGGGGGTAACATTGTTTTCTAAAGCTGGTTTTGGGACATTTAAATTATAGCTCCCCTTTCTGCTGGAGATCTGCAGATTGTGACAAGCAAGCCAGCTGTTCCAATTAATCAGAAAACCAAATGTTTTACATGAAGTCTAGGTAATACATTGAAGTACATACACAGGGGATAAGAGTAAAACAAGTAAGAAACAATTTCCAAAATTTAACAGTGGCACAAGGGACTGTGAAGAGCAGTCATGGAAAGGTGCCCTGGCAGTGAAACTAGAAAAAAATTAACGATACCTTAAGTCCTTATTGTGGGTTGCAGATTGTTTCACTAATAGCAAGAACTGCCCTAAGCTTTCCCTCCAGCTAGTAGAGGCAAGTGACCCAAACTGAAGTGGGGAGGGAGGAGGGTTAAATATCCCCAAATCTGAATTGAGCATCTTAGAGTTGCTAGAGACCTTGTAAAACTACAACTCTTATGATTACATAGCATTGCAGTTAAAGTGGTGTCAAACTACATTAATTTGACAATGTAGATGAATCCTGTGTGAATGGTGCCTTGCCAGTTTGGCAATATTAGTTTTATTCATAGGGGCCTTTCATATTGTACAATCACAACACTTTGATACCATTTTATCTACAGTTGAGTCTTGCTTATCCACATTTCGGTCATTCTGTATTATCCAGTGCTGTCAGATACACAGCTGTTTCAATACATTGCAATGTTTTGGTGCTAAATTCATAAATACAATAATTACTACATAACATTAGCCTGTATTGAGCTGCTTTTTCTGTCAATTGGTTGTAAAACATGATGTTTTGGTGCTTAATTTGTAAAATCATAACATAATTTGATGTTTATTAGGCTTTTCCTTAGGTAAAAAGGTAGTCCCCTGACATTAAGTCCAGTTATGTCTGACTCTGGGGTGTGGTGCTCATCTCCATTTCTAAGCCGAAGAGCCAACGTTGTCTGTAGACACCTCCAAGGTCATGTGGCTGGCATGACAGCATGGAGGCTTTTCCTTAATCCCTCCTTATTATCCAACATTTCTGCCAGCCCGTTTATGTTGGATAAGCGAGACTCTACTGTATCTGTATCTGATAGAACTCTGGATTTTTGAGCTATGGTGCTCTCTAGCTGAGAATTCTAAATACTAGGCTTGGGTAACCACGGAAAAATTTGGTTCTAAACTCATTTTGTTTTTAGGGGGCCCTTGTGTTTCGTTTTTTAAAATAATTCCGAAATTTTCCTTTAAAATTTTTTGAAATATACGAAATTTCGTATAATTACGAATCGATTCGTTAATGGCGGACGCGATTGCGCAATATGCTAAAAAAACCTCCAAATGGGACAGGGGGAACTTCTGAAGCTTCCCTCTCCCTCTGTTGTTGATTGTTGGTGTGATAAAACAAACAACAACTATAAAACTTGCACCAGACATGCCAAAATAATTACGAAATAATTACAAAATAATTACAAAATAATTACAAAATAATTACAAAATAATTACGAAATAAATTGAAAAAATTGTTTCGAATCTAATTTACTCCTCACACTATTCCTGCATGGCTCAATATTGGATCGTAAGCTAATTTAAATACGAATTAATAACGAATTATGAAATTAACGAACGAAACCGCCCAAGCCTACTAAATACATCAACAAATCACAAATCCAGGATTTAATAGGATAGAACCATGACAAGTAAAATAGACTCAAATTACTACAATTATGTAGTTTGAAAGGGCTCTTAGTTTTCAGTGTTTCTTGCATTGTGGTTATTCTTGGAGTACTGAGAATTGCAGTGCAGCAATAACTATGCTATTTCTTCAATACTTGCTTCCAAGGGGTCAAGTTGGTCATCTCAGCACCAGAGTTATATGCAAAGTGGCCCATGAATTATTTTAACAATAAATTCTGCATCATTCATATATCCTATCTGTTTCAGTAATGTAAAATGTCACAACAATCCAAATTACTTCTGCAGTATTCCTAGTAATATAATTTATTTGAGCATTATTAAATATCAGGAATGCAGATATGCCAGGTTGCATTTCATCATTGAATTAATAAATTCAATGTTGCTAAGCACCTGTCCAAAAGATATCAAGGGAGGAATTCATAGCTGTTTTTCAAACTTCAGTTTTCTGAAGAAAGAAAAAAGAAAGAAAGAAAGAAAGAAAGAAAGAAAGAAAGAAAGAAAGACCTAACCTGTTAGCATTCTGATTGGTTTTCTCCACTGATCAATCAGTTTAACATTCATCAAGGTATGTGTGCTCTTATGGAAGACTTTAAAAACATTTTCCTGGTGATGCTTTCTATAAATTTCTATAATTTGTTTAAATAGATCCTTTAACATATTAGTAGGGTCTGCAAGATACTAGTGTAAGGTCTGCAAGACACTAGTGGATTTGTGCTATGCCTTTGAGAAATTCTCATTATCCTCCTCCCTTCTACCTCCTCTTCTTGTATATTAGATGTAGGAGCAGTAATATTACTACTAGTCAGGATAGTCTCTAAAATACACACCTGATACCAGTGGCAGCTTCAGGGCATTTACTAAGGGCATATACAACACATTACACTACTCAAATTAAGAGATAACAGGTTATGATCACAGTCTCAGGTTCCACCTCCCCCTTGTCTGGATTAAGCCTCAGTCTATTCGTCCACATCCAGTCCTTTATGAACCAGTTCCCATGTGGAACTCTCAGTTTTTGGGTGTGTGCAAAATAACATAGGGTCAGTGGGCCAGTTCCAAAAAGGAACCAGCTGCAACTGTCCCTGCTGCTATCCTATATCCCTCTCCCCTCAGCCCGTGTGTTGTGGCAGTCTCTGGCAGCACACAGGAACCCATCTGTTTTTGGAAATAATATTTGTAATGCAAACATTATCTATAATGGTTAATTTTCCATTAAACAAGCTACTTTGGATAAATTTATTTCTGCATTTAGCTAATGTTTTTCTTAATTTGTTTATTTCTAGGGCAATATATCTTTCTCCTGTTCAGAGCCTCCAATTGTTCCTGTCACATTTTTGAACCCCAACAGCTATCTAGCATTGCCAGGTACATCAGGGCAAGATGAAGTGTCAATCAGCTTTCAGTTTCGGACCTGGAACAATGAAGGTCTCTTGCTGTCAAGTAAATTATACCAGACTTCAGGTGGCCTCCTCATGTATCTAAGTGATGGGAAAGTTAAAGTGAGCTTCTATAAACCAGGAAAGGTACAGAGTGACCTTACAGCAGGTAAACAGAAAATGTAATGAAAAATAATAATGATGTAAAATTTTTCTCATGAAAATCACTGTGATGTGTAATTCAGAAGTATAAAGGCATTTTTGTCTGTTTTTCTTTTGTTGCAAAAACAGGTAAAATATACCTAATTAGCCTGGTATATCTGATTTTACTGCAGGTTTTTTTTACATATTTCTATAAGTATTCAGTATATAAACCTGTCAAAGCGTCTCATTTTTGACAGCCTTGAATTATTGCCAATATATTTGCATCCAGCACTTCCAGTGTACTATAGTCTGTGGGAGTGTGTGTGAAATGCGTGTTTATATAATCTGGGGTAGTTTGTTAATTGTTGGAGATGGAGGGTGCATCTAAACCAGTCGTTCTCAACTTGTGGGTCCCCAGATGTTTCAGCCTTCAACTCCCAGAAATCCTAACAGCTGGTAAACTGGCTGGAATTTCTGGGAGTTGTAGGCCAAAACACCCGGGGACCCACAGGCTGAGAACGACTGATCTACACTGTTGAATTAATGCAGTTTGGCACCACTTTAGCTGCCCTGGTTCACTATTATGGAATCATGGAAGCTGTATTTTGATGATGCACCAGCAGTATTTTAGCAAAGGCTAAAGAGTTAATAGAACTACAAATCCCATGATTCTGTGACAGCTCAAGTCGTGTCAATCTGTATTAATTCTATGGTGTAGATGTACACAGAACATGTGCTGACATGCGCCTCTTAAGATTATACCTTCAATTAATCTATGTATGGTGCTGCTTTTCATTGAATGCTTCAGTTTATAAACACATGGTTGGTTCGTTTGGTAATGACTGGGAGAGAAGCTGGATTCATAGTGTACACAAGTATGAGGTAAACTCACTGTATATGCATTCATTGATTTGCATTTGGAATACCAGCTGTGTGCTCTTATAGATAGTTATAAGAATATGAGCAGTGCTATGCTGGGTGAGATCAAACATCAAACTGATATGGGTATGATGTCCATAAACAGTGAGTCAAATAACTTGCGTTCTCCAGGCAATTGTACTGAGAGCATACTACCTGCCTTATGAGAAATATTACTTGCCTCTAGATGTCTTCAAGGATGCATAGCCAAATGTTCAGATGAGCTTTTTTTTTTAAAAAAGAACAATTGGATAAAAGTCTGAGTTTTCATTGTGTTTCCACAACTCAACAATTATTTGCTAACCCCCATAATGGAAGGTGGCAAGAATATAAGATATGAAAAAAATGGACTGGTTGCTAGCAGCAATCCAATATGATGTTGATGATCATAAAGTGTTCATTCTAGAACAGAGGCTCTGGCATTGATTTTAGTAGCAGCAGGCTCAACTACAATGTGTGCTAAGCAGCTCAAATAAATACTGCAGGGACTGTGCCAATTTATGACTAACCGTTTTCCCTTGGCTCGCTCTCTGAAAATGTTAATTCCATGGTAAGAGTGTCATTGATGTGCAGTTTACTGTGATGTATCTGACTTCCTCTAGAGAAGTTTAAATCACAGCGCAATTACATGCATGTTAATGACAACATCTTAGTTCAGTGCCTCTTTTAACAGGTTTCTGGAATGTGCTGTCATTTCTAACTAACTTCCTGGCATGCTTTCTGACAAACTCCTGAACTACAAATGCAAATCAAAATCTGTAAAATGTTTTCCAACAAAAATCAAAATGCGATGTTAAACCAGAATTTATGGTATTCTATAATAGGGCTCAGGTAGAAATCCTGTATGATTGTAAATGTAGGTTTATGTTTGCCTCTGCAATTGCAGAATATTAAATATTTCAATACTACTCCTGCTTTCCTCAGCAGAAAGTTATCTAATGAAACCATACAGTGAACTTTCCCCCTCCCCTTGTATGTTTAAAGCGTTTATTGTAGCTACATTCATTGGAGCAAATCAAGGCTGTAACTGGAGATGGAGTAATTAAATTATGGATGGTTGAGCAGGTTTGTTCCCCTACAGGCAGAGACTTATGGCCTGGCTTTCACACATACAACATGTGATAATTAAATCAGAGCAAATTCTGATTGCAGTTCTGAGACTTCATTGCCAAAGATTTATAATATGATCACAGGAAAACAGAAAAGATAGCACATATTAATACATGAATGATTAACTTACCAGAAAGCAAAACTTTCTGTTTAAAGGGCAACCGGTTTCACCAATTGTTCATGATATGTTTCAAAAGATGGTGATAGTGGTCAAAATATACTAGTGACTTATGCTATGTCCTTGGCATTATTAAGGCTTCTAAGCAAGTTCTGGAGACTTAATATGGAAATGAATGGGGAATTCTGGTATGCTAGTGGTCCCATTGAAATTTAAAGTAAGAAGTTAGACAAATAAGCAATACAAGCATGCAGTTTTGTTGCTAATTAAGTGTCAGTTTGTATGTTCTCTTTGTAAACTCATGGTGAGATAATGTAATTTTGTTGAAATTTCAAGGTGAAGCATATCTAGAAATATTTGATATTTTAATGTGACTGAATGGCAATATAGAAGTGTATGGATAGAAGTAGACACCAAGTGTGTAGAGAACTGGAAAATACTGACTAACAATCTCTTGTATTTTTATTCATTGGTATACCAGTAATAGTGTGTCTGTAATAATGTAATTGAATGTAATTGTGAAATATAATATAATTTGTATTTTTTCTTGTGTTAATATATGATTATTACATTAATGTGTGGCTTAAATTTTTCATTAATCTGCCTCAACCACAACAACACAGTATGGGGTTTTGCATTCCATTGAAAGAAGCAGGCTAAACTGATGAATAATTTTTCTAGTTGTTATACAAACTTTTCCCATAGTAGTGTACTTTGTTTAGCCCTGAACTTACAGTGATGACCCCTTAGCCATTAAAACAATATTGAGATAAATCATACTGTGAACTCAAACACCATTATGTGACAAATAACGAAGCAAGTTATTCCCTTTATGAAATCATTTATTGTTTTCTGAAACTTTTTGCACTGACCCTAAACATGTTCTTAGTAAGGATTATCAAAGACACTCACACAATATATTGGTGGCTATTTGTGCCATCACTAATTATAGGTCTGTAGGAATGTGTTAAGACTGGAGAGGTTCAATCACATCCTATTATTACTACCAGAAAATGGCAAGTTCGGTTGTCTATATTGCTTAGTGTACAGACACTTAAAAGAAAGAGATAGATCATAGATAATGGGATAAAGTAGGGCCACATTTACTAATTACATGTACATTCTGAACTGCAGTGAAACCTCAACATGTGGTATTTAACTGAGACCAGAGGGGGATTTGAGCTCTTCCTCAACTCCAAGTGTGGAACAACCAATTCATGATGCTAGGCCATACAATTACAGCCCACAATTTCCTGACTAAAGACCCAAGATATAAATCCCAGATGCCTTCAATTTGCCAGCTTCCTTCACTTGAGCTGCATACAGCCAAGTTGGAAGTCAGGGAGTTGGTTTTCAATCACCCTGGTCAACATGGAAACCAACACACCCACAGATGCACGACATACAGGAAGCAAAAACCCATAGTCAAGCACATGCAGATAAACACACAGAGATGCACAAGCAGAAACTCTCATTATAGTACTCCTTGCTATAAGGAAATCATTATGGACATGAATCTAACTCTTCTAGAGAGAGATTCAATACTAGGCTTGTGCAATCCAGGTAATCTGCAATCAGTTTCAGTATTCCAGATTTCAGTGGGGGGTTCCAATCCATTTTTTTGGGAGCCTCCTGAACTCAGGAGGACAGAAATCCATTTTTGATCCAGGAAGCCAAAAGATTCATTTTCTAACCAGCACATTATTGGGGGAGGGCACTTCACATTCTCCCCTTCCCATCATTTTAGGCAAGGTTTGTCTTTATAGCCTTCATTAAGACCTAGGTTAAAGCATCAGAGTCAAGATACCACTCTCTCTCTGATCCTTTCCCTTCTGTCTGTAGAGGAAATCTGGGTTTAATAAAGGGTTTGAGAAACTTTGCTTCCTGCGATCCTTTCCTTTCTATCTGTAGAGGAGACCTGAGTTCAATAAAGGCTTGAGAAACCTCGCTTCCTGGGATCTTTTTTCTTCTAGTGGCTACCTCCCTCCCTGGACACAAACATGTAACCGAAAGAAACCAAAACTGTTCTGTTGCGGCCGGTATAAAAATGGTGGCAGAGCCCATTCCATTACAGGCCTTTGAACAAGCTGAATGCAAACATCCAAACACATATGTGCACAAGCCTATTAGATATCATAACAAAATTATATTAGTACATGTAGGTTAATGGCAAATCTTGCCTCCCTCTGCTGCTGTGATATGGCAATAATATGTTGGTTGGATGTGACTCTGTAAGTTGTTGATTAAGCTTTTCTTGCACAGAATTCATATGTTTTTTTGAGTGAACAAACTAAGTTGGGATTTAAATCTCTGGCATTGCAACTGATAGCCATTCAACTATAAGAAAAGTATGAAGTACAGTATGAAGTACAGAACTAAGTATGGCATAGGATACTCTACCATGTTCAGATTTTCAAAATAGCATGTCTTAGGTTTACAGGAACAGGCATAATTTCCTGGCATTTTTGAGCTAGGATGGACATGGAATGTCATTAAGATAGTATATTAAATCAAAAGAATTTGAGTACCTCCCCCACCCCCTTATTAAAAATATGCACAACACAATCAATAAATTTTCAAGATTGTTAGGGCAAAGGTTCCTAGCTTAAAGCAAGCAATCAAATTTCTCATTTTATTTGGTGCCCCTTTGCCCCTGTCTTCTGTTAATTTTTTGTTGCATTCTCTTGTATCCAAAACTTCATTTTTTTAAAAAAAAATCAAAGCATTCTTTGTTCAGACAATTCTGTAAGTATTTTTTTGCCTTGTCTGGCTATGATTGTGTTTTCTGTTGTTTGATCCTTATAAAACACTTTGAAAAATATGTTGTTCTGAACTGCTGTTAAATGAAGTCAAAGAAAAATGACTAATATCCAAAGTATGTCAGATATGAACTAGACATTGGATAAACTGAGTAACATATATACAATCAATTTTGAAGCCTGCATAGAAATAGACATGTGAAAAAACCGAGTCTTGGTTTTTGTTGCATTTCTCAATTTTTTCCTGTATCACCATCCAACTCTTTGTTGCAAGACTTTTTTAAAAAACAAAACACAAACACAAATTCCTACACTGAAAATATATGAATTTTCATTATGCATTTCCCATAACTGGCATATTTTTCTGCACTTCTCTTAATGTAGAAAAATGTAGTCTTCTCTAAAAGGTGTTTATATTGCAAATGTTTCAAGCTATTTGGATTTTGAATATTTGTGCCTAGGTCTCAGTCTTATTTTATTTTTCTTGTAACACATTAGAAACAAGACAAAAAGTATTAATTTCGGCGGACAAGTCTTCTCTGACACACAACAGGCGTCAGCCCTCATTTATAGGCAGTACCTAGTCTGAACCCATTTTATGTATAAATAGAGTGACAATCCTACAGCACAGTTTGTTTAAGCTTTAACTAAGGGCCATTTCACACCACACAATTGCAATGGCCCAATTCCACTTTTACTGCCACAGCAATATCCTATTTGATCTCAGTTTTTCAGTATAAGAAAGGGTATTTAAAACTCTCA